AGATGTCAATTAATAAACATTTGAAAGGCCACTTGACAATACTCAGAAAAACCTATTAGAAGGTATTCCCTCTTCCTACTTGGTACCTTTAAAACAAATTTGTATGGTGTACAATTTTATACTCCTCCCAAGTTATTCAGTGATCAGTAAAAACAATTTCCCTCACAACAACACATGCAGTCTATGCTCAAAAGAAAAATCCATACTTAAAAACTTTCCATCTGCAAATGAAATAGGATGGGCTCCAGGCTTCTCGACCTTGAAGATTTCATCTACAAATATTACCCTGCAGTCATTTAATGTTCCTTCAGAACCCCTGTTTAAAATAGGAAGAAAGGTTAACTTCTACCAAGAAAATCTAAACCTTGTGCAAAAATAATGATTAGAAGTCAGTTTGGAAACTCATTGTATTTTGCCCATTTACAAATTGAGATTATAGCGATGCCAATTATTCTGAACTATTGTTTCTAATAGTAGGAAAGTACAATTATGATTAGTTAGCACTAAAGTTAGGTATAACTTTAGGGTAGTATCAAGGAAAAAGAAATTCAGGACTTCGTTACTTAGAGAAACTGGAAAGAGAATCTGTCTTGTAAATTTAAAAACTATGCTATCCTGTCATTAAAATGAAAGACTTATTTACAATAAACACAGTGAATTTCTGAGCAAAAAGATGGCCTCTTTTTTAAAAAAGTCTTCCAAATAGGAAGCCATATTTGTCAGGATTTTAATTTATGCTTATTTGCATGTTTCTTCAAAGTTAAGTTTTCCTATATGATGGTGGGTTGTACATTTTTCTTTTTAATTTGTTAACTTTTGTTTGTATTTCTGAAGATATATTATTAGGTATAAACAAATTTAAGAATCCTAAATCATTTTATGAAATACTGCTTTTTATCTTAATAATGCATTCTACATCAAGGCTACTTCTTTTGGTTAGCATTCTTTGCTTGGAAGACATTTTCTACCCTTTACCCTTTCTTTTAAAATTTTTAATGTCAAATGTAACAAACGTAGAATGGACATTTGTACATGACAAATGTATATCTTAACCAGTTTGAAGGTATATATCTCCCTGTAAATCACTAGCCATGACAGAAGATAGAACTGTCAATTACCTAGAAGTCCTTGACCATGCCCCTTCCCAACTGACAATTCTTTATAACCTCTCAAGAGTTATTAGTTATCTTAATTTTCTTGAGCCTCATCACCTGTCTACCTCCCTAAAACATATGGTATAATTATGTCTGTATTTTTAAAAGCCTACAATCTATAAATTCTCACACCATCTTTACTTCCTTGCAATTTCTTAAAGTGCCGTAACCATTTGTCCAATAGATTTTCTCACAGTCTGGATTTTGCTACTTGCATTCCCAAAGTATAATTTAAACTGTTTTTGTACTTCCTATAAATTGACAATTGGAGCTGAAGTAAAAGCAGAGAAAATCTTGGTTCACTGCCTGTTTTTGTAAATAAACTTTTACTGGAATCTAGCTGTGGGCAACTTGATTGTATATTATCTGTGGCTGGTTTAATGCTATTATGGCCCCCAAAAGCCAAACTATTTACTCTCTGGCTCTTCACAGGGAAGGCGAGAGGACTGTAACCCTTGCATTGAAGGCACTTAATTACATTTAGGTTCATTTTCTTCCAAGACTATTTCATAGGTCTATTTCCATCAGGGAGCATCTATTTAATTATTTATTTTCCTGTCATGACAGTAGCCACTAATGCTCAATGCTTGGATTTATTAATGCACTGGATCCTAGAAAACTGGTAATTCTAGTTCTAGCATTTGCTGGGGAAAAAACTATGAGATGCTTTAAAGTAAAACATCTTTCAATTACTTGGTGACCCAGTGGTATAGCTTTTATCACAGGTAGGTAAAATGCTTCTTTGGCATTTTTTTAAAAGAATAGTTTTCCAACATCTTCTATAAGTGACTAGTACATTTTTGTATTGCTATGAACTTGTAGATTTAAAGAACTTCTTTTGTTTCAATCTACTATAGCTATTTTCCTTCTCAATATTCAAACTGTCTCATTTGTGGCTAATGGGAGGTTCTAGTTTACTCCCAAATCCTTCTGAAAAAATTTAGCAGTATTTGCAGATTCCTTGTTATTTATATGACAAGATGTCTCAGGTTCATCTTGTAAATTTTCTGTTCCTGATCTGGAGTACCTAACCCTATTTCTTCTTCTTTTTTTTTTTTGGTGAAGAATTCAAAAACTCTGGCTTATAAGAGATAGAAAGTAGGGTCAGTGGAGCCAATGAGGATTGTGGTAATGACTATAATGGAGCCCATGGGAACTTGGGATGATGAAAATGTTCTTGAACACAATGGTGGCACTGATACATCTATTTCTTCATGTTCACAGAAATATACACTTAAAATAAAATATAGTCATAGTTTAGTATCTACAGGGATTGGTCCTAGGATATCCCCTCTAATAGCAAAATCCACAGATGCGCAGATAGCCTATATAAAATAAAAAACTTTGAAGTTTTTATTTGCATACAACCTATGAAACATTCTCCTATATATCTTCTTTAGATGACTTACAATGTTTAATATCATTTACATGTTAAGTGAATAGTTGTTATCTGCACTGATTAGGGAACAATGACAAGAAAAGGTATACTTATCAGTACAGATGAACTATTTTTTAATATTTTTGATCTGAGGTTGGCTAAATCTGTGGGTGTGGTAATCCCTGCACACAAAGGGTGGAGTATGTTACTGTATGCAAACTATACCTCAAAAGTGATTTTTAAGCTGGGCATGGCAGTACATGCCTGAAATCCCAGCACTCTCGAGATTGAGGCAGAAGGATCATGAGTTCCAGGATGGCCTGGGATACAAAGTAAGACCCTGTCTCTAAAAAAAAATAAAAAAAGAAGCTATGGAAATTTATTTTCTGAAGTCTACTCTCTTACCTGCTGTAAGTGAACCCTGTTTTCCTTGTCTCTATTTTCTTTGTCCTACTCAATTTGGATTCTACTTATTAGTTTCTTCTCAATTTTTAACTCCATGGCAGATGGTAATAAATAATCTAAAGCGAAAGAGGCTGGGGGCGTGGATGGAGTGGCAGAGTGCTTGCCTACCAAGTACAAGGCTCCAAGTTCAAACCCCAATATACCATCCCGCTCAAAAAGAAAAAAAGAATTAGAAACAAGCAGGAAGAAATTTCAAGTTCCCTTATTAACGCTCCAGGACAGATTAAATCTCATGTCCTCTATTTGTTTCTTCCTCTGCACCTTCAATACAGGAAAAGATTAAATTTAGCTGAAGATTAATTCTTTCCAAAAGTCTAACAAAACTAATAACCTCTGGTGAGACTGACCAAAAAGTCACAAACTAAATTCAGAAAGAAAAAGAAATAGCACAACAGACATTGTATGCATTAAAAAAGATGTGGCTAACAAATACCTTAAAATATAGATATAGCAGACAAATTACCAGAAAATTTAACTCTAGGTCAAGAAATGGGGGAAAAAAATGAAGTCATATGATCATTATAGAAACTGAATCAATCATCACAAAACCATCCCATAAAGAAAACAGCCCTATAGGACTTTACCAAGGAGTTTACCAAACATAAAACACTACCATAAAATAGGAAAAGAATATGTCATTCAGGACAAGTAGATAGGAAAAGTTAACTCAAGTTTTACTAACACATGCTATAGAAAATACTGACAAACCAAATCTAGGAAAGCAAATATACAAAACGTCTGTATCAAACACTGCAGTTACTAATGAAATTTTGAAAATTCTCTTACAGCAGGAAAAGAAAAAAGATATCTATCACTACCTCTTTTCAACAATGCACTAAAGAACTCAGCTGGTAAATAAGGAGAAGAGGAAGAAATCAAAACAGACAAAACAAAATTAATTGGAGGATGATATAATAGTACACATTTCAAAACAATCTACATGTAAATTAAAATTAACCTTCTAAAGCTACCCCATCTAAGATTAAAGATTACTTATATTCCTATATGTCAGTACACACAAGACACTAAGAACATTTAAGACCTACCTACAGAATAAAATAGAATGGCCTAGATAGGAAGAGTATGTTTATGATCTCTGGAAATTTCTTAAGCAGACAGAGAAAGTACACATGAAAGGACAAAAAGTTACTTCAACTTTCCAAACCTTATCTACATTAATATAAAGAAAACTACTATTCAAACATCCTACAGAGAAAAGATAGGCCAGAGATAGAAAAATACTTTTGCCACAGATGACTGAAATGCTAGTCTCCATAATTAGAATTCCTAAAAACCAAGATAGACTACCCAAATAACAACAAAAAATAACAGCAACAAAAAGGCACCAAAGTTTGGAACTTGGTTCTCACAACCCAACTTGTCAATTAAACACAAAAATTTCTCAACTCCTCTAGTTAGGAAATGCAAATCAAGGACAAAAACAGATACGATTTTATTACAGACTCACTTGATTAGCAGAAACCACATCTGACAAATTAAGTGTGAATGTGAGTGCAGCACAATGGGAACTCTTGCACTGTTGCAGAAGTTTAACCTGTACAATCACTTAAATGTTTGGTCCTATTGACTAAAGCTATAGATGCACAGGTTTTGTAACTAGAAATTTCACTCTAGACATGATGAATCCTGGAATAACTAATGCACAAATGTGACAGGGCACAGCTACAAGAATGTCATGGCAGCACTTTTCAAACAACCCTAAACTACCAACAACAGAATGCGCTTACACCTTAGCCCTAATTATATATCCGTTCTTTATTGTGACAGGACTTTTTTTAATTTTAACTTTAGCCATTGAAAAGGGATTATTTTTAAACACTTTTATTTAGCATGTATTATTGTACAGGGGTTTCATTGTGACATTTTCATATACGCTTACATTGTACGTAGGTTAGGTTCAACCCCACCATTATTCTCCTCACCCCACTCCACCCTACTTAAAATGTTTCAACAGGTTTCAATGTTCGCTCTTCATAAAAGTGTATAAAATATATCGACTATATTCACCTTCCTTTATCCTTTCCATTTCCCTACCACCATTACCTACCCCCTAACAGGACCTGTTTTTACATTCCTGTCCTTCATTATTTAGGTGTATATTCATTGTTCAAAGGATGAGTTTCACTATGGTATTTCACCAGTGAATATATTGTAATTTAATCAGTCTAACCCCTCTCTTACTCTTCCTTACCCTTACTCCTCCTACTCCTTATATTCTACAGCTTTCAGTGCTTTTGTTTTAGGGAAAAGTTTTTAATCATGAAAAAAATTTCCACCCTCAAGCCTCACTAGCTTCTTTTTTGGCTCTTGTGTTCCTAATACTTCTAGTAAAAACTCAAATGATGGGGAACACAATAATTTGCAGGATAGTGTTTTACTATTAGGATAGCTACCACATAATGAACCAGTATTTGCCTATCCATTATTTCCACCCAATCTTAGTTCTAATCTCCCAAGTCACAGTACTCCACTCTACCTCATGATCACTTGGGAAAACTTTCTAGCGCAGTGAGTATTGTTAGGTCCTATTGCATGCATGTGCTGTTTTATGTTTCCTGCACTCAAGGACATTACAAGGCTCTCTACAGTCAATTTATTTAGTTGCTTTCTCTTTTACTTCATGGTTTGTATCCATATCAGAGTTTTAAGTTGTTTGAAGTCTGTAATTGAGCTACATCTTTAGTTCAGCAATATAATCACACATTTCTGTACAAAGTTCTGAAATCTGTTTTCTAATATATAAATTTCAATCCCAGCACCGTAAAAAATAAATAAATAAAATACAAGCTTTACTCAACACCTCTTTTTCCTTATCTCAGGAGTCAGCACACTTCTTACAGATGAAGGGCCAGACAGTAAGTAATTTAAGCTTCGCAAGGTCTTGGTTACAACTATTCTACAGTGCTATTTAGCCTAACACCAGCCACAGATAATACATTTATCAATGGGCTTTGCTATGTTCCAATAAAACTTTATGTACAAAAAAGGGTGGCTAATGGGCTGGAGTTTACCTACCCTTGCTTTACATTTTAATCATAAGCAAATGCTTCTCCTAGATTTGTTATCACCTTGTAATACTAATCCCATTAACTAGAATTTGGCAAGAATATAAATTTGGCTGCTTCATTTATGTAAGAGAAATGTTAGTATCATGCCAAAAAGTCAATGCTCAATACAACAAATTACTAAAACTCATTATAAGAAATGCATAAAATACATACAGAAGATCATTTAAACATTATTTATAATAAAGAGAAATAACTTAATAGAGAAATAGTTTAAGAGATTATCTTTTAAAATTGTTATTTTCGCACAATAAAAGCTATTTCAGAAGAAGCAGACAGGTGGCAATAATTTGCCAGGTATAAGAGCTAACTGTGAAACAATGTCTAGTGCTTTTATCACCTAAGAGAATTTCTTAAAGAACTAGCAAGATAAACATGTGAGTGATTTGGTATTTCAGATGACTTTTTGCATTTTGAATTCTCTTCATTAAGTTACAGATAGCTATTGCTACTGCTGCTTATATCAACATAGCTACTAAAATGATTTTCTGTGTGTATATATATGTTATCATATATAATATGCAATATATACCATTATTTATATTATTATGTTACATTCATATTAGTGAAAATGCTAGTGAAGTTTATTAGGAAAGGAACATACTTTCAAAAGAGTGAGAGCAGATCATCTCTAGAGTGAGAAGGAGAATGAAGATTTGTGTATTACTTTGTTTCATCTTTAACATTCCTGTGATAAATGTAAGGATTTCTCTAAGATACTCAGATATTACCAAGATTCTCCCAAACATTTCTAACCCTACAGAAAACAAAGATTTAAGCCATTCTTAATAAAATTTTTGTAAAAATATTCTTCCAGAATATGAAACTTTCCTTCTTTCATAAACTCCATCTTTTTAAATCAGAAACATGTGTTTTATACTAAAAATTTTATTCCTGAATTCAATAACTAAAGTCAGTGAAGAGAATCCTACCCCAGGAAAATTTTCACACGAAGTTCTTTTTTGGTCCTTGAGATTGTCTTCAATGTGGTAATTTCTGCATCATACGAAAATCCTCTTTTTCCTGGATTTTCTTCATTGAAATTAACCATTAGTGTATCTCCGACATTTAGTTCATTCCATTTCAAAATAGTTCTAGCTCGTGGTCGAAGATCCTTCACATTCATTTCTAGTGTACCACTTTCTGGGTATCTGAGGAAAGAGAAAGGATGACACAACACACTTATAATCAATGCCAAAGATGACTAAAATTATATGCAACATATAGAAAAATCTAATTTTCAGAGCTGGTAATTTGGGAGAAAAAGTAAAAGAGATTTCAAGGTCCTTAAATAGAGATGTGGATCATGTTGGATTCTTACCACCATGATAGTAACGGGTTGGTTACTGTAAGTGTGAACATGAACCCTCTCCCCACCCCCACTAGACCTTGGAGATGTGACTCTCTTTGTGGTTTACAGAATGGCAGGAAAAGTGTACATTCTGTGTTCAAAGACCAACCACCGGCTGGCTGGCTATGATGACACATACCTGTAATCCTAGCTACTCAGGAGGTGGAGGCAGGAGGAGGACTGTGAGTTTGAAGCCAGGGCACATACCAGCACCATCTGGAGATGTACTAGAAATGTACATTCGAAGGCTCCACTTTGGGCCTGAGTCAGAAACTCTAGAAATGAAGTCCAGTAATCTACTTTTACAAATGCTGTCAGTGATTCAAATGCATGTTCAAGTTTGAAAACCTCTGTTCAACAGGAACATGAGAATAGTTAAATATTATACCCTGTATGATAGCATTTAACAAGACAAGAACCAAGGGGAGAAAACTCTGATCAACTAGAGTGGACTGCTCAAAATGAAAATGGGCCTGAAGCTGGAAAGTGCACCAGTAGCTAGTTTTGGTTCTTCCAAATCAAATAAGGACTATGCAACCCTAGAACTCTCACAATACACTTAACTCATTTAGAATAAATAGATATGAATCCTGTATGGGATTTTAAATTACCCAATTTAATCAAGTAGCTAAGTTTTTGTTAATTTGGAAGGGGGAAATTTCAAGACAGGCAGAGGGCCTCAGAGACTATTTGATCCACTTAACCCATCAGTCTCTTAATTTCCTTTAATGAAGCTTCCAAACAATCAGCCTCTGCTCAAACAGTAAGCATGGGACATTTTTAACCTTAAGGAAAGCCATTCTGTCTTCATACAGTTCTGATATAGGGAAGAGAAGATACCCATAGTGGATCAAAGATAAACTTTAAGAATTTATTGAGTTCCATCCATGAAGATATCTATATATGTGCTCTAAGACAGACCTAATATTTGGCAATCTAAATGTCCCTGACACCTTCAAACATCTTCTCTAATCAAAACATTGTTTTTAGTGAAGTTCCTTCATCTCACACGACCAGATTTTGAACCTCTTTATTATCCTTGTGTCTTCACACAAAATACATCCTATTTTCAGCCTGCCTAGGTTTAGATTCCTGATTTACTGTGTATCCTTGGAAAAGCTATTAAACCTCTGTGACTATTTCTCATCTGTAATTCTTACCTAATGTAACTAGCCCTCATATAGTGGTTTAAGAGCTAAAACTGGAAGAGCTTTGAAGTGCTTAAAACAGTACCGGGTAAAGTAAGTATCAGTTATTAGTATTTTGTCACGATTAAATAGAAATAATTCTAGTTGACAAATAAAGTCGTGTTCATGGTTCTACTCTTCTCCCTCTATTTCAATCCTACTTTAATGGTCAAACCTAGAAGTCTCCAGGCCAACATTTGGTGTTTAAAAACCAATTTATAGACAATTATTGTTTCGTGACTTGGTCAAAAAATAGCCAACACTTTTCTCAACCTACAAAATGAAGAGGTTAAAACAGATTTTAAACCTTTTCTAATGATAAAGTTGTGAATTCAACTTCAGCCTCAATATTCTTAAGGCCATGTGAGACAGAAAACTATTTTAGATGCAATTCTTTTTCAGCTGTAATGTGAAAGTTGTATTTTGACTTCATGACATTGTAATTATTCTGTACAGTTTTAAAATGACATAGTTAAAAAGCATGCTTCAATAGCAAAAATGTCTCCATTTTCCAAAGTCTGTCAAAAATTAGATACTCAGAATGGGAATAGAGAACATGAACAAAGTTTTATGGTTTTTTATTTATATTGTGTGTATTGTTTAAGACAGGGATTCCCTGCGGGTGAACTCGCTATGTAGCCCAGACTGACCTTCTGCCTCTGCCTCTCAAGTGCTGGAATTACAGGCATGCACCACCCTCTAGGTGTATTTTTAAAGAGACAATCAAGGAACTCTGAACATTGACTACTTACTTGATAATAAGAATCATGGGACTTTATAGGATTTGTTATTATGCTTTATGTATCCGGGTTCCTAAAACCATCCCCAGGTAAAATGATTCATTAGAACTCACAGGACTTCTTACACCATGGCAGATAGCTATAACTATTGCTACCGTTTACTATAGCCAAAGGGAAAATCAAAAATCAAAGGCAAAGGACCAAAATCAAAAGTGACTAGAGGAAACTAAACACAAGCTCTAAAGTCCTGTCCCACTAAGACATTTCCTCCAATCACAAATTGTGATAACATACAAAATATGGTTTACCAGGATAGCTCAGCAAAATTCTCAGTTATTAGGGGCTAGTCACATAGGTACTCACATATGCCTAGCATATACCAAAAGTCCAGCTCCCAAAAGCAGATGTTCACATAAACCATCATGAAAACAGTCCTAAAATCTAAGTTCCCAAACATCAATCAAAGGCCAACTAACTAAGCAGACCTTTTGAAGAATAATATCCTCAGATCTAATGTCAACTCTTTTCTGCAAATTCTTTAAAAAGAATCCTTTTACCTATTTTGTCAGTTGGATGGGGAAGCAGATGTTAAGATGAAGGTAACACCTATGAAAGATAGGAGAAGAACCAGAACTACGCAATAGGGCCCTTAGACCATGATTCTGGTCAGTTGTGTTGAACAGAAAGGAGGAGTGTCTGGCAAAAAGTGTCCCAGAATGTGGTACACCTCTGTGGTACAAGTTTTGGCCAACCCAATATTGAGCTCAGTTGTGGAGATTAACACAGAGTCCCACAAGGGGCAGAAATTGCCAGGCCCTATAAGTCTTGTCACACTTAGTCTGTATGAGAGATACCAGGAAAGAATATAAACCTTGGCTCAAACACTTCAGATCTCAAAAGTGCTATTTTTGAATGTTATTAGCTAAGTCAACTCCTTACAGCTGGTCAAATAAGTTTTTGAAGGGAGAGCCAAGCAGCATACCCACCAAGGTCACTATAGTCACATATATATATATATATAGGCCATTTATGACAAATGATGTAAGGTCTGAGATTCTCTTCAAAATAATCCAGTGATGGTCAGAGATGCTGGTACAAATAATACAAAATTGGCCATGAGTTGATAATGGTTGAAGTTAAGTGATGGATTCATTATATTGTTTTCTCAACTTCTGCATGTGTCTAAAATTTCTATAATAAAAACAAAATAAAAATGCTGCAAGTTAAAATCCAAAAACTAGCTAAACACCAAAGGATTGCTCCAAGTTCTTTTTGTCCCATTATCAAAACAAAATTCGAAAGGTTAGTACCCAAGGCTCATAATAAAGATGAGCAGCCTCCTGCTCCAAGTCCACTGTGCCCCTTACTTCTGCTCCCCAGAGACAACCACTTTCAATTCCTTGCTATTTCTTAATTAAATCTGTATTTTTAAATAACATGCTTATACTGTATTTTTTAACTGCTACTCTACCCATATGCCATATCCAGTTCACTTGCCTCCAAATCTTCCTTATGATTACTAACACATAAAAGAAATTACAACAACCCTTATAACAGAAGTAGGAGCCATTTTATCCTAATTTGCAGATAAAGCACTGAAGTTAAAAAACTTAAGACATATTTCAAACTGACCATCTGACTCTAGGCTCCATAATTTTAAAAAGGGTTTACAAACTTTCTTGCTCTTTAGCATATCATATAAACTATATCATGTAATGTTTTTAAAACATAAATGACTAGACAGTATTCATGGCTAAGTAGTGAGTACACTTTAATTAATTTCTTTCAGAGTTTTATCTTCCTTGTATGTGCCTATTTTTACATTGAAGACAAGGGTTCCAACACATGAAACCCTTCCATGATACACACAAACCGTATTTAAACCACAGAAGGTGGGAACACAGAATTCCATGCAAAGCTAATAAGAAAAATGTTTTATTAAGTTTCTGGTGTTCTTAAAATCAAGAACGAAAACCTGTAAGCAGCTGTACTCAAGAGAAAGATTATTCAAGTATAGACAGCTACTAACAAAACATTCTCTTTCCCATGCAGTTTAATGTAAAGTTGAAGCTACCTCAAATTAGTCCAAGTAGCTGATGTTTTCCAGCATTTGCACTGAGGAGAACTGACTGTACTGACTGTATGAAACATTTTGGGAGAGTGGAAACTTGAACAACTTCTAAAACAGGGCTTAAGGTAAATAAGGACACCATTCATCTGCAGGCAAGTTCCAGTTCACAAAATATTTAATGTCATACCATATGCAAAAAAGAAAGCATTTCTTACTCAAAAAGATAACATTATGAAGTTTCACACCTTGAATTTAGATCTTACATACAATTGTGAGTAACTTACTTAAAACTGCTTACTCTGAGATGTTACATATTACATGGAAATAAATCTCATTTTTGAACATAAAAAAATGGTGGATAACTGTTTTGATAATAATGGATACAATATAATTAGGTTAAAAACACCAATGTCAAAAAATAGGATACTCCCAAGTATTACCTAAGAATACTTATCAAAATAACATTAATTATTAAGTAAAATCAGCAGTTTGATTTTATTGCTAGGTATTTTCCAAAGTTATAAAAAACAAATACCAAGTAGATATTTACAGGAGGAAATTAAGGTTGAAAGATTCTCTAATAACAAAAACCTTAGCAATGAAGACCTAAAATTCAAGCCAAATTCTCAATCTAGTACCTAAACTATGTAGCCTGTAAGCGAATCACTGCTCTATATACTTATTATGCCCCTGGTATAACTATTTGAAAAACAGATTCCTGGGCCCTACCCAAGGCCCACCTAAGGTAGTGACAGGGAGAGATCCCCTCAGAAATCTGCATCCTAAACATCTTACCTGGGTA